TATAGCGCATAATCTAATGCCTTGCGCCGCATCACCACCCGAAATTTCGTAGCTTTATCATGCAGTCCCATGTCCACGAATTCAAATGAGATCCCCAAGTCACGTAACTGGGTGAGCATAGTGTAGTTCAATGCATGCCGAGGTCCCGCTGTAAGTATCTGCAAGGCTTCCCCAGACTGACGCCGAACCCCTGGGGTGACCCTCGCCAGCTGGATCCGATACTGCAAGACGGAGAGGCAATTAGAATGGAACAGGCGGATGGTGGTCGCCAAGCCCAGCGAGAGAGAGCGAAGAAGACGAACTCGCTGCCAGAACTTATTCATCGTTTCCACCCAGGCCACCTCATGGGCCGATGGGCCCACCCAGAATCCGAGGTACAAAACTCTGGTGGCGAAACGGACTGAGGCGACACGGCTGCCTTTCCGAGTCATGTGGGCAGCGAGGGCATCTCCATTCAGCGTCCCGCAGATCAGGACGTAGCACTTCCCCACTTTCAACGAGAGACCAATCGCGGAAGAGAGCAAGTCGAGAAGTAGCAAGGTGGGCATGAGATCGATGAGAATGTCACGTAATCCAAAGCAGCAGTCATCAGCGCACGCCAATTGGACACCCACCCGTTCGACGCGGCGGGCACGGATCCAGCGCAGTACGGGGTCCAGAGCCAGAGCAAAGAGGGTCATTGACGTAGGGCCCCCCTGCCGTGCACCTCGTTCCACAGGGAAAACCGTTTCGGCAGCGCCCTCAAAGCAGACCAGGGCCGTATTGTTGGCGTACAGGGCTTCGAAGAAACCCACGGTCTCGCTTGGGGCCCCCATGGCCACGAAAACGGCAAAAATCCACTCGGCCAGGATCGAAGGGGACGCCGCCTTGAAATCGGTGAACAAGACCCCCGCTTTAACCCTCCCACACATGTGTTGGATAAGGCCCCGTTTTTCAACTTCAACGACATTGTCTAGAATGTTACGCCCTCGAACCCCACCACGCTGGGAGACATCCACAGTCTCAGGAGCGACGTCATTGAGTCCCAGACAGAAGGCATCGGAGAGTATCTTCGCATCCGTATTCGCAAGGGAGAGCGGGCGGGTGGAGGCAGGTGCACGAGAGACAAAGTCGCTGCGATCACGAGGGTCGCTGCCCTTCGGGAGGAACACCATGCGACTAACCCGACATTCAGGGGGGAGAGCACCTCCTGCACTGTTGAAAACCTCCTCGTAAACCTCGAACAAAGCATCGGTCGCCTCAGGGACCTTCCAGCATCCATGCGAGATCCCATCAGGGCCAGGGGCAGAATGAAATTTATGGCCGACACGGCCCCGAAATTCACCCGCGTCAAGTTTCCAACGTGGGGCAGGAGCACAGCCGCCAATAGTCTGAACGTGGGTCAGCATTTCGCCCCAATGAGTCGGGTCGTAATCCGCCTGTGCAAAGACCTTACTCCAATGGGCTACCAGTGCTGCAGAAGCCGCTTCTGGGGAGGCACACGGGGTCCCGCTCTCGTCCAATACGCCCGGCAGTCCAGTCCTCCCCCTCATGAGGTCCCACCCGCGCCTAAGAGCCACCAGCCTCCGTCTCTTCTTGGTCCTGACCTCCTCCACCTGGTTACTATGATCCAACTCCTCCAACTCCGCATCAAACCAGCGCCCCTTCAAGGTTAGTACCAAACTTTGGAGGCCATCAGGATCAGTGCACACGCCGCCGTCGACGTCGAAGAAAGGCAGGAGAGAAGCGTAGCAACGAATGGCACGAAGACAGAGATACCACTGCCGACCCCTCCATCCACGGCGTGCCATGACCGCAAAGTGGAGCCGTTCCGCATCGTCGCCCGCAGGTCGACACTTAAGGGCCTTCTTAAATGCTGCAGCAGCCGTGCCAAAAACCTCTTTCACCCTCGCGAGTTTCTGGGGAGGGTCCGAAGGGGGCGTCAGCCCCCGTAGCTGTTCGGAAACCATTCTGTGGTATTCGGCATGCTGGCTGGTCCATTTCGAAACCGAGAACCGACCCATCGGGGTCGGAAGGGAAACAGTGGCAGCGACGGGGATGTGATCGGAGGAGGCCCCTGGATGCATGAGGGTGCCGACAGCGTTGGCAACAACGGTCATCTCATTGAGCATACCTGCAGGAAGGGTCGTTTAAATACGATCCAATCTGGCCAGCCCCCTCAGTTCCCGATTCACAATGTCCCGTCGGGTCGGGTCTGGTTGGTATAATTCACACCAGTGGCTACAATGTTCCTGAAAAACATCGCATTGCAAACGGTCCCCAGGCCCAATCTCCCCTGAGACCAGAGACCTACCATCCTCCAAGTCTCCCAGAATGATAACCATGGTATGCGATGCCGCAGGAAGGGCGGCATTGATGAGGCGTAAGTACTGATGATAGATACGAACGTCATCGCACGTGTTAGGCATATGTACATTGACCACTACCAAGTCGCCTCGGGGTCCCCGACCATGGACGAGTAACACGCGCCCAGGAACGACTGTAATCGGAGCGATCGGGTCGAAGCAGCCACAGAGATCCGAGGACAGGAAGGTCGCCACCACCCCCGCGTTCCGATCCCCCAGAAAGCTCCAAAAAAATTGCCCAGTCCGCATGTCGTCCCGCAGGATAACCAAGTCTGCTTCAGATCCGTGCGTCTCCTGTAAACACATGACCTGATACTGTGAGAGCAGCTGCTTAGCCCGAAGGAAGCGTGAACGTGACCGGGATGAACGAGACGAAAGAGAGGCGAAGAGCGCGCGCGTGTTCCAACTGCAGAGAGACAGAGGACGGGCAGGACGGTAGACTCCACCAGCTTCCCCAGCAGGCGGCGAGAAAGATAAAGCACTGTCACTTGCGTGGTGTACATCAAACTGGGCGGAGAGGGCGGACGAGCACTCAGTAGCAGAACCCACTGGACTTGTCCCCACCGCACACTCACCTGTCGAACGGTTCCGATACCCGCCGAAAGGGGCGGATCTCTGCGAACCTGGCGTGCAGACACTGTGCATGCTGCTGCCCTCCCACTTCCGTCAACCCCTCGATCTCGACGCCACGCTGCACGGTGCCCGCGGTGGGGCCATCATCAACAATAGAAATCTTAACCACTTGCACAAGGACTCCGTTGTCCTTCATCACATACACCGCACCACCTAGTCCCGTCGACCCCGCTTTGTCCGCCCCGAAGATTCTGGAGACATGCTGTCGCATATCCCCGAGATAGTAGAACAGCTTCCTGGAAGAGGGGGGAATATCACGTCGGACCCGTAGCTGTAAGTCGGGACCGCCCTCAGGGTTCGGGATGGGGAACGTGCCCACGGACAATGCCATTCCATGGAACGTGGAGGCCTCTAGGTTGGAATCAAAGTCCAGGAACACCTTCTTACTGCAATCGTAGGCCTTGACCTGAGCACAGCGGGAGAGGATACTCTGGACAGCTTCACGGAGCGTTTTCTCCATCAGCGGCCGTGGAAATCCAAGAACCACAAGACGCGAGGGGTTACCCACTAGCCCAGAGTCGACCTTCCGACGGACTTGTCTTTCTTCGTCCCCACGGGGTGTCGGGGTCCCTAGCTCGACGACTTTCTGAAGGTCCTGGATCTCGTCGCGCGTCGCCTGGATCATTCCTTTGAGCTCATCACGGATGGCGGATTCAGCGGTCTCACGGTCCTGAATGCACTGAAGGAGAGCCTGTTCGTGGATCGCACGCATCTGCTCGAAATTGGCTGCCGTCTGTTTTGCCAGTTCCGTGTGCGCCTGCCGTCATGTCTGGAAGTTCTTCTCAGCGGCGATCATCTGACCTTGGATTCCCGAAATCTGTTGGTTTATCTCCTGCACGCCGACATTCAACTGACTGGACAGGCTGGCAACCGACGACGACAGAGGAGCAATCATGTCACGCATGGCTGCGAGGATCATCTCGGTGTCCCTCTTACCCTCCGTGGACATACCTCCAGGCGCCGCAGGGGGGGTACTCATCCCTCCAGGGGAGGCAGGAGGAGTGGATGTGAGCGATACTGGCCAGGACTCGCTGACCTCGGACGGCATGGCGATGGGAGGGGAGGAGGGCGCGGCCGCGGCGGGCCGAGGGAGAGCGGCCCCACGGGGCCAGGGGAGCGCGTCCGCTCCCGGCCTTGGTGCTTGGCCACCAGGCGCCTCGAGAGAGGTTGGAAGTTAAAGAGCAGGCCCCTTGAGCCAAAATGGCTACGGAAGGAGGAGGAGGACGATGAGGAGGAGGAGGAGGAAGAGGGGGAGGAGGAGGCGGAGGAGGAGGAGGCGGAGGAGGAGGAGGCGGAGGAGGAGGAGGAGGGGAGGAGGAGGAGGAGGAGGAGGAGGAGGAGGAGGATGAGGATGAGGAGGAGGAAGAGGAGGAGGAGGAGGAGGAGGGCCCAGATCTCCGACCCGGCGCTCTGTTTGGCAGCGCGGGCACGCAGGGGTCCAATGAGGCCCCTGCCCTGGAGGCCGAACGCTGCCAGGAGCCTCGCGCCGCGGACCCTTCACGGCGAGGGGAGGCCCGGGGAGGAGGTCGGGGCGGACGGGAGCGAGCGCCCTGACAGGCAGGCGCTCTGCTGCGCATGCCGCTGCGCCTCCCCCGCTTCCTCCTTCCCTCGCCCCACCCTCCTGCGCCCTCGCCGCGCTCGTCCTGCCCCGCTTCCTGCTGCTCCCCTCCCCTCTTGGCCCGTTCCTCCTGTGGCTGCTGCTTCACCTTCTCCCTCTGCTCTTCCCGCTCCCCCTCCCCTCGCACCTGCGCCTGCGCCTGCTCCGCCTCGCCATCCTCTCGTCCGTCCCTGGGGCTGTCCTGGAACAAACTGGGACTGTCTGGGGCAGTCATGAAGAAAGCCGTCCCATGCTGGGTCCTGCTGGGACGGCTTTGACCGCTCGGGACAGCACTAGACATGAAAGCGCGGCCGCCTGCATGCTTGAAACAGACCACGCGGATCACCGATGGCTTCTGCCTGCTTCTCTGGTTCCTCCCAACAGCCATCTGCCGCTCACCCAGACTGCTGCCCCCAAGTCCCCTCTTTGGAAGCGAGGCTTGAGCAACTCCAAGTACACGTCGCAGAGCTCGTACAGGAAGAAGTTGTAAGAGGCCTGGGCCGCTGCGTGCCGCATGGAAAAGGAGTCTGGCCCGTCCCAGGAGGAATGGGAGCGTGCACCATGGGCCATGGGTGACCTTCCTCCCCACATCCCCGATGTACGGCTTTTCGATGTGCGGCCCCAGGAGCTTTCCAACCCATGGAACGGTTCTTCTTACTCCTCTTCTTCTTCTTCTTCCTCTTCTTCTTCTTCTTCTTCCCCGATCGCTGTTGCGATTGTCCTGGGACCGAGCAGCGGCCCCTGGAGGCCGAAAGCGAAGACCCCCTCTCCTGATGGTCTCTCGGCATGACTCCCTCCCTTAGCCGCCCCGGCACGCAGCACGCAACACGTAGCGTACCGATACGGAGCTCACCACGTAGACTGAATACGTAGGTCTGACGCGATACGTTCGCAAGCACGTGGTCTGATTCGTGTGTGCAGCCAACACGCATCGTATCGGCACGGACGCCTTGAACACGGCTCGCTCTGCGTATCGAAACGTGCGTGCCGAGGCAGCCAAGCACCTGCGGCACCGGCAGCACTCCCTCGTCTGATGATCGACCTGGCAGGATGGGGATGCAGTAGACCTCCGACCCCTCCGCGTCTCCAGGAGGAGACCCCTGCCTAGGAGGCCTTTACCAGCCTCGAACGTATCCCTATCCATAAGATTGACACGCCAAAAGGCGATGACAATCTTAGGGATTCGCCCTCAAAAATAAGGGAATCCCTGAGATTGGCATCGTGATGAGGAGGTGCCCAGCAAGGGGATAGGGATATGTCCCAGGCTGGTAAGGCCTTGCGCCGCACGGCTGCTGCTCGAGTGCGGGGAGGCCCAGGCGTCCGACGCCCTTGCAGCGAGTCGGGATGGAGCGTGCCGCGTTCGGCCTCCGGGGCCGCTTCTGGCGCCACGGGCCCTCAGCGGCACAGCTGGGGACGAGACGGGGGTCCCTCGCAAGGCGTGGGCCGCAGGCTGGACCCGTCGAGACATCTGCGGTCTGGGGGCCCCTGAGGGCAGTCGGTAAGCTCGAGTCCCCCGAGGGGCCAGGAGGGCTGCAGGTGGCGCTGGAGGCAAGCAAGTCGTAGAACAAGCGAGCTGGCGGCACACCTTCGGGCCATGTAGCCACGTGGTGCAAACTACCTGGTGGAAGCTACGTGATGTGAGCTGTGTGGTGCAGGCGACGTGGTGCGAGCTCCGCGCGGTGTGAACTCTATGTCGCAAGGCATGTGCTGCAAGCTAGGTGGTTCGAGCTATGTGGTGCAAGCTATGTATTGTGAGCGATGTGCGCAAGGCACGTGGCGCAGGATCTATGCGGAGTAGGCTTGTGAACTTTTTTAATTCGGCGTCTCGACGTTGGGAGGAAGGGGGGGGGGCAGGGGGGGGCGGTCTGGCTCCGGACCTCTGCTTCGCGCAACTGTTTGCAGCAGTGCGTCCTGTGGGGGGAGACTCCACCTGCTCGAAACGGGCGCCCAGAGCAGCCAAGATCCACTCCAGGGGGGAGGGGGGAGGGGGCGGTGCGAGGGCCCGCGCCGATCGGCAAAACGAGGAATACAAAAAAACGATTACCTGTGTGCTCGAGGTCCGCGGTGCAATAGCACAGTTAAGTCGGGCCTGTCCCCCTACAGGCGGATTTCAGGCGAAACGCGAAAATAGTAGTCAAAAAGCACTCCACAAGGATCAGACATAGTCCAAAAATCGTCCCCGGACTATCTGCTTGGACCATCCTTGAATCTTTTCGACTCTTTTTGAAATATCTGTTAACTCTTTTTGCTCAAGAATGGTCAAAAAATGGTCAAACAATAGCCTGGAATCCCAAACATACCTTAAAAATGCTCAACAACAATTGTCAAACAATTGTCCCCAGACTATCTTTTGACTCTTTTTGGATATTCCCCCCCCGTAGAGGGACCGGCCCGACCCAACAATCAGCACAGTGCAGCCACGAGGCGCCCGCAGGGCAGGCACAGCAGGCGAGCAGCCCCCGGCCCGCGGGCAGCCACACAGCAGGCGCAAAAGGCTGGCGCGCCCACGGGGCGCCCGCGGCTTGGGGCACGTCGCGAAGCCTGCAGGCGAAGCTGCGGAAAAAAACACACACAGTCTGTGGGAAAACACACACAGACACACACAGACACACACAGACACACACACACAGACACACACACAGACACACACACAGACACACACACAGACACACACACACACACACACACACACATACACACACACGCGCACGCGCACGCGCACGCGCACGCGCACGCGCACGCGCACGCGCACGCGCACGCGCACGCGCACGCGCACGCGCACGCGCACACGCACACGCACACGCACACGCACACGCACACGCACACGCACACGCACACGCACACGCACACGCACACGCACACGCACACGCACACGCACACGCACACGCACACGCACACGCACACGCACACGCACACGCACACGCACACGCACACGCACACGCACACGCACACGCACACGCACACGCACACGCACACGCACACGCACACGCACACGCACACGCACACGCACACGCACACGCACACGCACACGCACACGCACACGCACACGCACACGCACACGCACACGCACACGCACACGCACACGCACACGCACACGCACACGCACACGCACACGCACACGCACACACACACACACACACACACGCACACACACACGCACACACACACACGCACACACACACACACACACACACACACACACACACACACACACACACGGACACACACACACAGTGGGAAAACACACACTGCGTGTGTTTTTCCCCACTGTGTGTGTGTGTTTTTGTCCCACAGACTGTGTGTTTTTCCCACGCGTGTGTTTCCCCAATCAGAGCTTGCTTCTGTAGGGGTCCTAGCGGACATAAAGCTGAGGTGAAGTGAGCTGCCGATTTCGGTGGCCGGGGCCGGGTGCCCGGGTGCCCCGGGGTGCCCGGGTGGCCGATCTCGGTGGCCGGGCCCGGGTGCCCGGGTGCCCGGTTGCCCGGGGGTGCCTGGGTGCCCGGGTGCCCGGTTGCCCGGGGGTGCCCGGGTGCCCGGGGGTGCCTGGGTGCCCGGGGGTGCCCAATAGCCCAATAGCCCAGTAGCCCTATAGCCCTATAGCGCTATAGCAGTATAGCCCTATAGCCCTGTAGCCCTATAGCCTTATATCCCTATAGCCCCATAGCCCATAGAACTCTATAGCCCCATAGCCCTATAGCCCTATGGCCCTATAGGTCACAGTCCTATAGCCCTATAGCCCGATAGCCCTATAGCCCGATAGCCGTATAGCCCTATAGCCCAATAGCCCAATAGCCCTATAGCCCTAACAAAAATCTGATTGGGGCTTTTCTCCGGTATCATTTTTTCCCACAGGGTCGGGCGAAAGGGGAGGATAGCAAAGGGGGGGTTTGAGACTCAGCTCGCGCAGCCGACTTTCCCGCCGCCCTCTGACGCCGCAGGCGGCCATGTAATTATGAATGGGTCCCTCGGTGGGGCCGAAACCAGCTGCATGCAGCAAATTTCGTAACCCCCCCTGTCCCTACCCCCCCTTTCGTCCTGCCCGAGAAGCCAGAACGAGGGGTAAATTCTCGGAGGCGACGATCGGGGCGAATAGCCCAGGGGGGAGCAGTACATGCATCCAGGGGCGCCGCTGATCCACGTCTTCGACAAAGCTCCTGGGCGAATGCGTGTAAAATGCCCGCCCCTGGGCTATTCATCTCCTGTCGTCGCCGCCGACATTCGCGGGAGGACAAATCGAGAATTTCTGGGATCCGACGGCTCTGGAGGACCTCGCGGGCGCCGCGGCCTTCTCGGAGGGCTCCGGCGCGCTCTGAGAGCGTTCCGGAGCGCCTGGCCGTCGCTCGGACGTCTATTCCCTGTCTTTTTCGGTTTCGTGCGTGGCTTTGTTCGCCCAATGATCAAGGATGCTCCTCGATGGTCCTCGCCGAAAGAAAACTGCACACGCCCGAGCGATGCCAAGGCGCTCTGGAACGGATAAGACGAAAAAGAGCTATGCACATACACCGATTCTGGCCAGGCCCATCCCGAGCCCGGGATCGGTGCATGCGCCCTCCTACCTTGGCCAGGGAGGCACATGCACCAGTCCTGGGTCAAGGATGGGCCTTGCCAGGATCGGTGCATGTGCTCAGTTCTCTCCGCCCGGCGTGCGGATGCATCCTCGCCCTGGCCCCGTCCGAACCCTGGCCCACCCAACCAGCACACACGGGGCGCCCACGAGGCGCCCGCGGCCGGCCACGTCGTGAAGGAAGGGGCCAGGGGGCACACAAAGAGATACACGCAGACAGCAGGATCCCCCATATCGTTCAATAGTTGTTTGATTCTCGTCTTCCCCCCACTTCCCATATTTTTGCATGTTTTCCTGGGAATCGACGATCAATTGTGTCTGTGTGCTTTTTTCCCTCCTGATTTGCTTGGAACATCTGTAAGATCTCCTTTGGTGCCAATGCTGCTCGGTGACCGTAGTCTTGAACCACTGCGCGGCTCAGGAGACTTCCATGTGGGCTGGCGGGCACACGAAGAAGGGCCATGTGTTGCTGTTGCTCGGGGTGTGCAAGCTCTCTTGATCGACATGCTCTCTGAGCTTCGGAACTGCGCTCGCACCTCTGCGCATGCCACACTCCTGAACCCACTCCGCCCTCGCCAGTCCGCATCCCCGCGCCGGCCGACCTTGCCTCCTCCTCCTCCTGGTGCCTGTGCTGCTGGCGCTACTCCTCCTCCGCCTCGCCTTGCTCCTCTTCCTCCAGCTCGCCCCTCTACCCTTCTTGCCTCGGGGATGGACAGACCCCCCTTTAGCAAAACGTGGTTTGGTGAAAACGACCTGAGGCCCAAACCTGGCGGGCGCAAGCCTGGAAAATAGCGGCCGCGGCGCCCTCTCGAGAACCGAAAACGGACAATTCACTAGTCGACGTGTCACTGCTGGGGGTTCTGCCCACCTCCAAACGAGGAGGAGGAGGAGGAGGAGGAGGAGGAGGAGGAGGAGGAGGAGGAGGAGGAGGAGGAGGAGGGAGGATGAGGAGGAGGAGGAGGGAGGAGGAGGAGGGAGGAGGAGGAGGAGGAGGAGGAGGAGGAGGGAGGAGGGAGGAGGGAGGAGGAGGAGGAGGAGGAGGAGGAGGAGGAGGAGGAGGAGGAGGGAGGAGGGAGAGAGGGGCAGGGAGGAGGGAGGAGGCAGAGAGGAGAGGGTTCTGCCCACCGTTTGGGGTTCTATCCACCCCCATCTTGCCCTCGCCTCCTGCTGCGCCTCCTCTCCGTGCCTCGCGCACGCCTCTCTGGGCCTCGACGCAGAGGCCCGGTCTCGTGCGCAAAGGGTGCTCGATCGTGCGCGGCCTCTCGCCGCTCAGGCGTCGCCTGTCTGGCCTCCCCCCGTATCTGCTGCTTGCTGGCTTTTTTGAGTCGGGCCAATCCATCTACAGGAGGAATATTCAAAAGTAGTCGAAACATAGTCCAGGGACGATTTTTTTTTTTTGTTTTTTTTTTTTTGCATTTGCATTTTTTTGAAAAAAAAATACAACATTTTTTAAACATACCATTTTTATTTTTTCCGTCCAGGATCCCCCTGTAGGAGGACAGGCCCGACTTAATGCTAGTTTCACCATGTGTACCCATGCGCTGAAAATACCAAGGTGAGATGTGGCTCGACTTATGTTGCTCTCATCGTACTTAAGGACCACATGCCAGAAATAATTTCGAGCACCTGGAAAAGTGTCGAATCAGAGTCGAAGTAGTGTCGAAACAGTGTCGCACGAGTGTCCCCCAGGGCCCGACACGTGAAAACCCCCGTAGTTTCCTGGCGCTCGAAATTCTTTCTGGTGATCAAGGCTAAAGTAAGTTGGAACATCATAAAGCTCGACCGTACTCCACGAAGCAAGCGCACAAGGACGAGCACAAAAGAACGAGCCACACGGGCGGGATACAATCCCAGCCGACTGACAGCAAGAACCCCAACCAGCAGGTGCTTGTCACTCCCGATGTGCCAGGGTGCTGCACGTGTCAGCCATACACACGTCGGTCGGAAGAAGTAAGTAGAAACATGAAGTAGGAAGGCAGGCCCTCCCACAGAATAACACAACACAGCAAAGGCATGTCGATTATTGAAGTAGGAAGGCGCTTGAAGTAGATTGGGATCTGGGAATTCAAAAATACCTACTTTCAACGACCGGCGTGTACCTGTAGAGCATGACCCCGAAATCGCCGCAAGTGTGGCATCACGGGGCACCGCCCATCGAACACCAGGGCGAGGACGAGACATCGCAGCAAATGGCGCAACGCATAGCACCGAGCGTAAAACCCCGGCAACAGAGCACTGGGACAGCACCTGGGACATCATAGAGCACACGCCATGGAACACCACCGCTCGAGCACCAGGGTGAGACCGAGACATCCCGCAAATGGGGCATCATGGAACACAAGCCCTACAAGACACGTCAAACATAACTTGACGGCTGTTTGTTTTCGGCGTTTGCGCAATCGGCGCTACTTCAATGCTGGCATGATGCGTTTGGCCCACGCGCAGGGGTGTCCGAAATTTGGCAGTTCCCTCGCAGCATTGAAGAACATTTGTTCTGACAAGTGCCCGAACTATCGGGCGCTTCGATGTTGAAAAGCATTTCAAATCATGTTTAACGTGGCTTGTACGGCACCCATGCAGGACCAGGGCGAGAAACAAGCATCGTAGCATAGGGGGTATCAGAGAGCACCCGCAATAGAGCAACACCCACAGGTCACCATGGCGAGAATACGGCATCGCAGCAGCAAGTGGGATATTATAGAGCACCACCCTGAGATAACAGTGGCGAGACTGGGACATCAAAGCGCATGACGCATCACGGAGCGTCAAGCACAATGCACCGACCATAGAGCACCACCCGGACGAAATATCGCAGCAAGTGGCGCGTAATCAACCGCCCGCCATAAAGCAGAACCTATGGAGCACGGTGCAAGAAAAATACTGGGCGAGAACGAAGCATCGCAGCATATCGTCCGATAAAACTGCCCTTGGTGCAAGCATTGCGTGGGCATGTGAGTTTCCTTCTCCCCTCGCCCATCGTCGCTACTGGTTTCTCATCTCCCTCCTTTCGTCCTCTCTCTCTCTCTCTCTTACTATCTTTCATTATCTCTCTCACTCTCTCCCTCGCTCTTGAATTACCAACCGTGCTTGCTGCAACCTGCCGCTGCGCTTTGCACTCGTTGGTGAATGTCGGGCCCTCTTCGTTTCGTTAGTTCCGCTTCCTGCAAAGCACTAGTGAAGCCCCCCGACTGATCGATGCAATCGTGCGTAAATGTTGTTGTTCCATGTTCTTATGCTGTGGTCTTCTACGTGCAAAATAAGATAGCAAACTCAATGCTCTCCCCCTTGCCCCCTTGCGACACATCATCTTTGCTTCTCTTTCTATCCCGTGGAGAAGGGCCGCTCTCTGGCCCAGGCCACG